ACAGAGTGCAGTTCCCAGTGAACAAAGTAACCACAGGCTTACTTATGCTTACTAATCTGTAGTGAACAGTTTCACATGTTTTTCAGAGTAAATAGGAAAGCAAATACTGTGTGCTATGGAAATAGATAAGGTAATACTATGAGATAAGGTAACACTATGAGATGGATGGGGAGCTCTGGTGGCATAGTGCCTAGGCACTTGACTGCTAACCAGAAGATTGGCAGTTCAAACCCACCAGCCACTCCTCGGAAGAAGATTGCGCGATCTACTTCGGTAGTGATACTGCTTTGGAAATCCAAGGAGGGGCCGCTATGAGTCAGAGACGACTCAACCGCACATAACAACAACATGAGATGGATGTGGTCTAGAAAGGCTTACAAACTAAGATCTAAAAAATTTAGAGCATGGAGAGCAAGTAGGAGAGTGATAGTAGATGTGGCCAAAAATGGTTATTTGGAGAGATCCTACTGTTGGGCTATCCAACTGCCATCATACCCTTCTTTGTTAGCAAAAGAACCCTAATTACACTGTTTCAGGTCTTTGAGGTGCCCAGTCCCAGAAGATGAATCATAATGAGTTTGTGTCAATCAGAGTACTCTCATTTTTTTTTAGCAAGTGATTGACTAGGGGTGGTCATGTGGTTCAATTTGGGCAAATGCAAGAGGAAGTCTGAACAAAAAGGCTTCTAGGAAACATTTCCCTTCCATGTAAAGGAGTAGAGAGTAAGAAGGAGGAAACCCTATTTTTTCCCCCTTGATTTTGGAGATTATTGTTTGTAGATGTGATTGTTAGAGCTATTATAGCCATCTTTTGGACATGAGAGAGACTCTATGGACACAAGACCGAAGTCTTGATGACATCATTTTGCTACTAAGTCATCTTTGGATCTGCTTACCTCTGGACTCATTTACTGCCTTAAATAATAAATGTCTTATTGACTAAGTCATTTTTAGTTAGATTTCTATTGCCTCCTGCCAAAGGTATCCTAGCAGATGATGGTTATTGGAGGAGTCAGATTGTGCAGGACAATTTAGATCATGTTAAGGACTTGAAATTTAACTGTTAAGAATTACGGAGAGCTATTAAACATTTTTAAGTATGTTGTGACATATTTCCTTTTCTAAAGATCACCTTCATTGAAATGTTGATAACAGATTAGGGAGTAGCAATAGTGGATGCAGGCACAGCAATTAGGAGCTACTGCAACAGGTCACACGAGAATATGATGATTTAAAATAAGTAGTGACTGTGGGAATGAAGAAAAGTGAACCAATTCAAGAACTTCTAAGCTATTTTAGAGATTTAACTGTTATTGTGATTGATTCAATGTGAGTGAGAGAGAGGAAGAAATCAAATATGACTCACAGATGTCTGGACTGAGCTACCAGGTAGATTGTACTGCCATCACTGAAAAACAGATCAGCAGGAGCAGGTGGAAGGCTGCAATAATCAGTTAATTATTGGCCATGTTGATCTTAAGGTGTCTACGATGGTGTTGTTGTTGTTGTTGTTATGTTCCGTTGAGTTGGCCCCAAACCATAGTGACCCCTCCTTGGGTTTCCGAAGCAGTATCACTGCAGAAGTAGATTGCCCAACCCTCCTTCTGAGGAGTGGCTGGTGGGTTTGAACCACCAGCCTTCTGGTTAGCAGTCACTATACTACCAGAGCTCCTCTACGATGGGTTGTTGTTGTTGTTGTTATGTGTCGTTGAGTCGGACCCAACTCATAGAGACCCCTCCTTGGGTTGCCGAGGCAGTATCACTACAGAGGTAGATTGCCCAACCTTCCTTCCGCTACGATGGGTAGTGATGTGAAATTAGAAGTTGGGCATTTGAGTGGCCTGAGGTGAAGATAGGTGCTCTGGTGGCACAGTGCCCAAAGGCATTTGACTGCTAACCAGAAGGTTGGTGGTTCAAACTCACCAGAGGTAATCTACTTCCATAAAGATTTACTGCCTTGGAAACCCAGTGGGGGTCACTATGAGCCAGAATCAACTTGATGGCAGTTGGTTTGGGGTGAAGATGAAGGGCTGAAGGTCTTTATAATTTAGATGGTAACAGAATCCATGGAATTGCTGAGATTCTTAGGGAGTGAGTGAGGAATAAAAAGGGAAAAGATCACAGGATAAAATCCTAGGATCACGAGCACTTAGCTATTCCATGGATAAGGAGATGCCAGCAAAGGAGACTGCAAATGATTAGTTGAAATGAAAGAAAGAAAGCAACAAAAGAGTTTCTAAAAGGAGGGAGTGGTCAACACTGACAAATATAGTTGAGAAGTCAAGCAAGAAAAACACTGAAAATAGGTCACTGGATTTAGCCACACACGATGGTTACCAGTGCCACTGATGATGAAATAGTTTTTGGAGAATGAGAGGTAGAGTGGTGGGTTCAGAATTCAAATTGGACTGAATGAGAAGTGGATAATTAAGAAATCCAGGCATAAAAGATAGAAAATCAGGTCAAGAAATTTGGCCTTAAAGAATACATAGGGCAGGAACTGAAGGACCTATGGGATCAAGGGAGGGTTTTAGTTTTTCTTTGAAAGATAGGAGTAACTGTCTTTCCTTCAGTTCTATATCCAATTCATCAAGTCCTTTTAGTTCTTTCTCCTAAATATATCCCCAAACTGTCCACCTCTCACTTTATACCAGATAACTCTTTGGTTCCAGCCACTATGTTCTCTTACTAACTAACTCAGTAGCCTCCTAACTGGTTTCTGTGCTTCCATTCTTGCTGTGTTTCTGACCTGCAGACAGTAAATTACTTGATATTGCTCTTCTAGCCTTGGTCTTTGTGACTTCTACCAGATACTAGGTGGAACTCTGTAAATGGGAGGTGCTTTGTGGCCCACCAAAGGGATTGGATAGCTTGTTTGTAATGTAAATAAGATATATGGCACCTTTGTGGAGGGTGAGACCATGGAAATTATGTGTATGGAACCCTTAATGAGGGAATTGGTCAGTTCTGCTGTCCCACTAAGCTTAAAATAAGCCATTCAGAGGCAGAAAGGGGAATCTCACTGCTATCAGGAGAGGAGAGCTGGGAGTGGAGTGCATCCTAGAACTCAAGATCCCTGTGCTGAGATGGCACAGAGATGGCAGAGAGACAACAGAGAGATGATGACAGCAGAACCAAGAGACCAGCATAAGACGGAGTGGTGGGCAGGAGGCTTGCTGGAGTAGGATGCCCCTCTGGGCACCTATCAGTAAAGCTAAAAGAGCTTTGTAACACTTACCCTCGAGCAGAGCAGAGGCTGAGGCCAGAAAGACGTAAGCCTGTGGCAAGGATGAGAAGAAACTGTCCTGACTGAAGAACTGTATCCTGAGTTGTTTCTGATTCTGTTACTTTCCTAATAAACACCATAACTGTGGGTATTTTCTGTGAGTTCTATGTGGCCATTGCAATGAATTGTTGAACCCAGCTGAGAAGTAGAAAGTGTATGGGAAGAACGGTTGATGTCAGAATTATAAAAATGTTGGAGGGTGGTAGCATGTCTGACATCTGTCTCATAGGAATCAGCCCCTAGGCTGTTGATGCTGACAGTGATTTTTCTCTCCACCTAGTGAAGTTAAAGGAGGTGAGAGGATGTGCGTCCCACACCCTTTCTGCATGACCCATGTCTACACAGCAGTCATTTTTAATTAAATCATGACACTTGGAATAAACTCCCTAAGCCCTTTGTCCTGGCCTGTAAGACTGGACATAATCAGAACCCTGACCACCTTTCCAACCACATCTCAACCATCTACCGCATTTATTCCCTCTGCTCCAGCTCCCCATGCCCTTTTTCTGTTCTTTGTTCCTCTATCACTCACTGCTATCAGTGCTTAGCAAGCTTTTCTCTTAAACTGTTGACTGGGCCAACTCTTTTTCATTATTCATGACTCTACTCAAATGTCACTTCATCCAAAAAGTTTTCTCTGACCTTCATAGCCTTTCTCCCATCCTCATTTCCTATTTTATCATCTTCATAGCTATCATCATTTTCTGGAACAATTTTGTTCATTCATTTATTTGTTAATTACTTATAACTTCTCATGGAAAGTATGTTCTGATTGGGGGAAACTGAGAAACGGTATATAGCATTATTATTTATAATGATGTATTGCATGTAGTATAAAGTATTATTTCTTACAACGAATCTATGTAAATGGAAAATTATCTCAAAACACAAGTTTTTTCAAAGTAAATTCTGAAAGAACTGGGATTTTGTTTGCTCATTCAGAACTGTTTCCATCACCAGAATGAGTGCCAGAGGGCACTAAATATGCCTTTGTCAAGTTTTAATGAATACATGATATGTTTGGTCACGCTTAAAAGAAAATAGAGTGTGTGTGCAATTAATAGCAGGAGATCCTGAGCCAAGGAATCTGAAGAGATCAAAATATTTAGTACTAGGATCCCAATATGGGATCCAGAACTCTTTCCTCTACTCCATGCTACTTCTCCATGAATGGAGCATTGATTAGATGACCACCGTAGAAGACGATCAATCAGCCACAGGTCATTTCTGTAGCTTATTATGATTACACAGTGGAGGGTTGATAGGACCATCACATACAAGTGGGTGCTCTGTGGTTCCCATAAAGACATGACCAGGCAGCACTTTCCTTAATTGGAGATTGTGGGGACCTGCGTGATAGCCTGGAAGGTGTACTATAGGCCTAGGTCCTCTTCTCAGCAGCTGAGTTTCAAGTTTCATACCTCCCAGAAACTTGTACAGCGCTGCTACTGCCGCCTCCGCCTCTGCACCTTAACCCCCACAGCTCACGAAAAGAAAATTTGAGGTGCGCTGGCGCGTGCTCTGACTGCCCCAGACTCAGGTTGCGCGCAGAGGCGGACGGAGGCTGCTTCTAGGCTACGCCATCTGCGGATCTGCGGGCGTTGGGAGGCGGTGACCACAGCTGGGCTGGGACTTCCTTCCTCCACCACAGAATAAGAAAACAACCCGGTGCAGGCACTGAGCTCTTGTCAGCTGTCTAGGCAAGTGGCGCCGCAATGGGCTCTGTGCTGAGCAGCGACAGCGGCAAATCTGCGCCCGCCTCAGCCATCCCGCCGGGCCTGGAGCGCAGGGGGAACCCCGAGCTGCCAGTCACGTCCTTCGACTGCTCTGTGTGCCTGGAGGTGTTACACCAGCCTGTGCGGACCCGCTGTGGCCACGTGTAAGTGCCAAGGTAGCTAGGTTTGCATACCTACCCGCTGGTGAGGGCGATGGCGGGGAGGGGGGCAGCATGGATATTGGGGGTGGGGGAGGCGGTTGACAGAAGCTTCCGTGAAGAGGAAACTGGTTTCCCTCTGCCAGAGGCAAATGTGACGGGAAGCAGCGTGGATCCATCTGGTGCGAGGCACAGGAAAATGCCCAGTCGGGAGGTGACACAGGATTCCGAGAGGGAAACACAGAAACTGTGGGGCCCTGCAGGCTTTTCCTGAAACCCAGGTGTGGAGCCTCAGAGATAGGCACTACAGCTGGGGTCCAACTGAGAGCTAGCGCTCGCCAGCTTAGAATGGTTAGTCTTGGTTGGAGAACCAGAGCCCGCCCAGACATCGAAAGGAAACGCGCACCCCACTACAAGCAATAGGACTCGCAAAGCACAGTTTTCCAGCCGAAGTGGGTTGAAAGGGATGGCCTTCCCTCTCCGTAGGGAACCCGGGCCCGTTTTGTTTTGTTTGCTCTGTGCACGTGTTCCAGAACGCCCACTGAGGCCCGTCTCTTGCGCAAACAAGACTGTGCAAATTGCCTTTCTACCCGCATCTCCGCCTTCCTTTCCCAACACAGACACCAGACCCCTTTGAGATCTTCAAGTCAAATTGGAACGCCCAAGTGACTTGCTGTAGTCTTTGAAGTTGAACAGAACCAGGCACGGTGGGGTTTGGTGCTTGAATATATTAGCACGAAGTCAGTCCGTGAAGCCGCTTAAAACTCAAAGATAAAATGAAAAGATCACAGACTACCGTCTTTATGCACATTTCGCCAAATCAATAGAGAATATAGATTAAAATAATTTAAATTAGCTCAAAGGTGAGATAATTTCTAAGAAGAGTTTGAAAACAAAGCCCCTCTACAAAACTGTTACGTTCTTAATGTGTGTTTGAGTCGTGAATAGCGGGAATTGGATCTGTGAATTTGTGTTCTCTGTTTACTTAAAAGATTTTTTTTTTCCAGTGGGTGGATGGGTGTGGGTGTGGCTGAGTCTGTGAGTGTGGGGGTGGGGGGAGCAAGGTAGCCGATAGAGCAAGAGCGGAAGCCTACTTAATGTCTCCTTGGATGTGGATTTGCAATGTAGTCTGATGAAGCACCAAAGCGATACCTCGGTGGTTTAACAAGAAAAAGACGGAGAGGACCATATTCTACAAGGAACTGCACAACATGTTTTTAAAAGGACCTCAGTGGTTCTTGACACTTGCAGCGTTGTAACCAAGAAAACCAGTTTTTCTGAAGAACCCTCAGTGAACCTGGGAGAAAAATACCGCAACCCATGCAGTGTTTATTAGAGAGAGCCCTGGACATTGTTTTCTGACTGTATTTTCCGGGCCTGTCGTTTCAGCTTTGTATTTTAATTTAGTGCTAATCTACTTCATTTGTGATTACTCCTGTGGTTACTCAGCTGTCCAAATATAGCTCCTTGACATAATATCCAAGGGTCAGTATGGAAGTCAACATGCTGTTTTTTAACGGGATAAAATATTTTGATTAGTTCAGGACAATACTAACTACATTTAAATTTTATCTGTATTAGCATTAACATTTGAAAAGTGTGCCAAGGATGCACCGTGGGCATCACGTCTTGAAGATTCCTTTTTAAGAACTGGGATGGGCAGCTTGTTTAGGGTAATGATCTAACTGGAGGTTGTTTTCCAGAGTTTGGATTTTGAACTTATTGTTTGCAGTGTTTTTGCTTCTGCTAAAGGACACCATAAATTTGCCAAATGTTAAATCTTTTGTTTAATCCTTGTCTTTGTTAGTGACTAGGAAACCAGCAACTGCAAAAATAGTCATAAAGTAGCATTACAAATTGCCTTCCCTCACTTTACTGTTCTTTGTTTTGACAAATCTATGTCCATTGTTCTGGCTGTGGGCAGAATTTCCATATTCCTCCTTTTGGCAAACTCACTTGGGCCCCTTCCACTTTGTAAATGTTAACCAGAGTCCCTTCAGCAGTGGAGAGACTGTGAGTGCCGTTAACACCATTTGTACTTTATAAATGAATTATTTTATTTCATTGATCTTAAACTGGAAAGTGAAGATATGCAAATAATACCTCTATATTTTATGATCCTATATTGAAGCTGGGAGCTCTGGTAGCATAGTGCCTAAGGCATTTAACTGCTAACCAGAAGGCTGGCGGTTCAAACCCATCAGCCACTCCTGGGAAGGAAGGTTGGGCAATCTACTTCCGTAGTGATACCGCCTCGGAAACCCAAGGAGGGGTCGTTATGAGTCAGGTCCGACTCAATGGCACACAACAACAACATATTGAAGCTAAATTTCCCGACCTGCTGCAATAGGTTGTTTATGCTAATTACATTTATAAAACTATTTCAAGTCAAGCAAGTACAAAAATGATGACAACAATACCTTGAATGCAGATGTATGCACTAGTACTACTCACTGCCGTGGAGTCAGATCCGAGGTATCACTACGGAAGTAGATTGCCCATCATCCTTCCTTCCGAGAAGTGGCTGGTGGGTTTGGACCACCAGCCTTCTGGTTAGCAGTCAAATGCCTTAGGAACTACACCACCAGAGCTCCCCATTAGCCATTGTTGTTGTTGTTGTTGTTATGTGCCCTCGAGTCAAACCCGACTCATAGCGAGCCCTCCTGGGGTTTCCGAGGCAGTATCACTAAGGAAGTAGGATTGCCCAACTTTCCTTGCGAGGAGTGGCTGGTGGGTTTGAACCACCAGCCTTCTGGTTAGCAGTCAAGTGCTTTAGCCACTATGCTACCAGAGCTCCCATTGCCTTTGAGTCAGATCCAAATCAATAGTGACCCCTCCTTGAGTTTCTGAGGCAGTATCACTATGGAAGTAGATTGCCCAATCTTCCTTCTGAGGAGTGGCTGGTGGGTTTGAACCGCAGCCTTCTGGTCCAGTAGAAACACAACAACAATGCAACACACTGCTGTGGAGTCGGATCCGACACAGAGCGACCCCTCGTTGGGTTTCTGAGGCAGTATTACTATGGAAGTAGATCGCCCAACCTTCCTTCTGTGGAGTGGCTGGTGAGTTTGACAGGCCAGCCTTCCGGTTAGCAGTCAAATGCCTTAGGCACTACGCTGAGTGGGCTTAAAAGAGGGAGAGCTTCATTTGAAATTCAGTTCTGCCACTAATCAGCTGTGTGACCACCAAATTGCTTAATCTGTTCGAATCTCAATTTCCTCATTTGTAAAATGGGGTATTAAAATTTTTATGAGTATTTGAAATGTAAAATTAGCCCATAATGAAGGTTTGGAGCATAGTAGTTTCTATTACTTTCAAAGACATTTCCATAAGCAAAAAACTCATGAATTAAATATTATTTATTATCCTTGATTTTCTTTTGGAAGATAATTGGGCCACAAAGGGTAGATACATGACATTTCCAAGATTATGCAGCTAGGCTCAGATAGCCTTACTTTGTTTCTGTTGTTAGCAGCCACAGAGTTGGCCCCGACCTCATGGTGACCCCACGCACCACCAATGGGATCGGATCCTTGTGATCCATAGGCTTTCACTGGCTGATTCTTTTTGGAAGTAGATAGCCAGGTCTTTCTGTCTCAGTCTGGAGGCCCTGTGGAAACTTGTTCAGCAGCACGGCAACACCCAAGCCTCCACTGAGAGTGGGTGGTAGCTGCACTTAAGATCCGTTGGCCAGGTTGGCCAGCTGGGGATGGAACCCAGGCCTTCTCGTGGAAGCAGAGAATTTGGCTGGACCACCAGTGCCCCCTATCTTATTTTTCCCTTGGTTCTTTTTCCTTTGGTGAACTTCAATTAATTTTTTGTAGTTTTGTTTTAATGTTTTATCATTTAAAATTAACTGACCATATTTTTGTCTCAGCTGTAAAAATGGATTTGGGAAAAGGCTTCCTCTCCCTGCCTTGTATTATCAGTGAGCCTGGAAAAGGGAGACTAGATAAATTTCATCTATATGGATGGAACTGAAAGAGAATATGAAATACATTTGAACCACTCAGAAGTTTGGTGTCTGATTGAGTGTGGTAGCTACAGAGGGGAAAGAAGTCACATGACTCCCAGCTTACAAACCCTGGTGACAGAGATAAAGAGGAGCAGAGAGACTGGCTCAGGAGAAAGTTAATGAGCTCATGATGGAGCCTGTTGAATGTACAGTCACTGATAGGGAGATATCAAAATAAAATTATCTCAAAGGCATAGGGAGAGTGGGTTTGGGGAAGAGATCAAACCTGGAGATATGGGAGTTATCTACAAGGAGGGTTAGTGATGTAGTGCCTAAGGCATTTGACTGCTAACCAGAAGGCTGGCGGTTCAAAGCCACCAGCCACTCCTCGGAAGGAAGACTGGGCAACCTACTTCCGTAGTGATACTGCTTCAGAAACCCAAGGAGGGGTCACTATACCTTGGACCTGACTGGATGGCAGTCAGTTTGGTTTGGTTTTGGAAGAGGTCTAAGGAGTGTCTGGGTAGTACAAATGGTTAAGAACTCAACTACTAGCTGAAAAGGAGCTCTGGTAGGGTAGTGCCTAAGGCACTTGACTGCTAACCAGAAGGCTAGTGGTTCAAACCCACCAGCCACTCCTTAGAAGGAAGGTTGGGCAATCTACTTCCGTAGTGATACAGCCTTGGAAACCAAGGAGGGGTAGCTATGAGTCTATGAGTCCGGTCCGACTCGACAGCACAAAGCAACAACAACGGTAGCTGAAAGGTTGGCGATTCAAACCTACACAAAGGTGCCTTGGAAGACAGGCCTGGTGATCTGCTTCTGAAAGATCATAGCCTTAAAAACCCTATGAAAGCAGTTCTGTTCTGCACCATGTGGGGTCACTATGAGTCGGAACTGATTCAACAGCAACTAATAACAAGAGGGCTAACTGAAACATATCATAAGGTAGGAAGAGCCTCATCTCCATTGAACTGAGTTGAATAAAATTCCTCTTACGTCACAGAATTTGCCTTTTTTCCTTTTTTTTTTTTTTTTTAAATGAAACTCT